GAAACTGATCAGTTTCAGCAGCAGCTGAATCTGGATGCCAGTTCCGACTTACATACAGATTCAACTTAAGAACAAACCTACAGTCCCTATCTTGTACGTAACCCGGGTACTGCCTGTACAACAAATTTTCACTGTACCACAATGTGTTTGGTTCCCAACCTGTTTTAATACCACCTACATCACCATAATTTCATTAATGTGGTGCGAAAGGAGATTAACTCTTTATCTGGTTACCCTCATGTGTCCTATGCTCCCCAGGTTATTGTGCAGAAGTGAAATCTCCTATTAACACAATAGTTGCTTTAAAGCATTCTCATTCATTTCACTCACTCAGTTTACTAATATATTGGCATTTTTTTACCTTTATCCGTCCACCACTGAGTTCTTCACTAAGCTTCAATCTCGCATCCACTACTCTTTTCAAATCTCTCTGTAGTCGACGTCCAAAATCCCTAAACATTGTGGATCCTCCTGAAAGAACAACATTCTACAAGACAAAAACAAGAAACTCTTCTTTTATATGCAAAAGTAAATTTCCCAACAAGAATTGTTCTGAGGCTCTGGAAATATACAGAACACACTTCATTTTGTTTGCATAGTAGGATCTCAGCTGACTTGCTTGTAGGCAAGCTAGTTTTATTTAGTATACATTTCACTTTATGCTTGACAAAAAAAATTTAAGAATACCAGCTTTGAGCTACATTTCAGGGTTTTGAGCAGAGCGTATGATTAAAAAGAGAAAAACAGCCATTAAAATGGCATATTTGTACTCCACATACTTGTTTAGTGGTGGTCAATTCTGCTTAGTGCATTTTTAAAGTTTTATTACCCTCATGCAGAAGCAATATAGTTGCATAAAATAAAAGCACATTATTCTATTCTGCATAACCAGGAAAGTTATTGGAGATGTTCCAGATAAGAAGTTTTATTCTTGGTATCAAATAAAGCTTTGAGTTTTTCATTATATGTTTTGAGAAGTCATGATAATTGTTCCAGATAAGAAGTTTTATTCTTGGTATAAAATAAAGCTTTCGGGGCCAGTGTAGACGTAGCCTATATGTTTTGAGAAGTCATGATAACAATGACAAGTTGCATAGTTCATTAACCAATTTACCTATTCAGATCCAGACCTCCAAATACAGCTACTGATGAGTTTTGTGCCACTTCATGTTTTCAAAGCTACCTGACCAACAAATAACTCTATAAAGAGAAAGGGGCAATATATCAGACTTCTCTTTTTCTTAAGTGCCTTACTTTAGAACACAGCTACTCAACTTTGGAAGCTCCGGGGGCCACGATACTCACAGCACATGCTGAGGGCCACAACTTAAGTGTAGTTACATATACGTGCAAATATATATGTAAATATATGCAAATAGCTTCTTACACACTGACGGGCATGAATACAGAGCTTAAGCCCCAAATAAGGCCAGTGTGAGCCAGTCAGCACCTCTCAGGCTCTGCCCACAAGGCTAAGCAGCCAGCATTTCCCACAGTGCCCCAGCACTCTCGGCACTTCCTCTCTGGGGGCTAGAAACGCCAACACCCTGTATCCATCTGTTCCAGCCAGCCCGTCCGCTTGTGTCTTTCAATGTTCACCTGCCTGGGAAATGCCTCGCCATTCCCAGTGGAAGCCATATTCAAAGGATCCCACCCATGGGCTGCGTGTTGAGCCCTGCATAAACCCAAACTACACTGTGGGCTGCAAACAAAAGGGTTGTGGGCCGCATGCAGCCCGCGGGTCACGTGTTGAGTAGCCCTGCTTTAGAAAGTGCTTGCCTATCTCATTGACTTGTCCTGCCCTAGAATTTCAGTGCCCTATCGAAAGCCTACTAATCTGGCCCATGCCCTCCAATGGATTGTGTTAAGACTCTAAATACTAGACATTTTAAATCACATGTACATTCACTTACTGTCCTGCAACACTGAGAACTAATTCAAGTGTCTCAGTGCTTTGGAAGATGACAAACAGAACTCCAGAAATAGAAATCCTCTATTTATCACAGCATGGGCAATAGCACAACAAACCCTTTTACAAAGTGTCTAACCCCTGACTCCATGCTTCATGAGGGTCAGAAAGAAACTCCGTAAGTGCCCATTCAGTCTGCTGCAACTGGAATACCAAGTGCAGTTAATCTTACTGCAATTGCTTTGTGGTGCGGAGCACATCTACTAGGAATTTATGTGATCGGGCGCTCATTTCACACAGACCAAGCTTCTCTCAGATCGTAACAGCTTTTTGATAGCACAGATCTGGACTGGAAATCAACCACTAAACCAGAAGTGAAAAACTTCTTGTATCAATCCCATGAGTCATCCCGTCCCCATGTAGATTTTTTAAAAACAAAGTCATGGAGTCCATGGCATCTGTAATAAACATTCATCTTGCAGGATGCAGAATTAACTGCTTGGGGCTTTTTAATAATGGACAGAAAGAAAATCTCATTCTGCCTTGTAGAATAACAACAGATTGCTTCTTTGATTATGATAATAATCTGTGCATTTGTCATAAAGTCTTGTTGACAGAAAAAGCATGACTTGGGGGTTCATTCAGATTACACTCAATAACATAAGCAAGTAAAGAATACTATGGAGAAGAGGTGCTTGCAAAACAAGCAAAAAACCCACAAGTGCATACACAATTTTTTTTTAAAGCTTAAATCTGCTGTCAAAACCAGAGCAGCTACCACAAATACCAAAAATAAAGCAAGGTCTTTTCTATGTCCAGACCGGTTACTGGCTGCATGCTCAGTATGCAAAAGGAAAACTGTTAGCTGTTTAAAAAAACACCCACTGGAATTTATTTGATGAAATGGCAATTAAGAAGATGCTATCAAAGTGTATTACTTGGAAGAAAACACAGAGAGTTAGTTAGTTAGTTAGTTAATGCCTGTTACGCCCACTGGGGTGTAGGGCAGCAATGAAGGTTCTCCATTTTTGTTAGTCTTTGGCCTTTTTCTTCAGTGTGTCCCAGTTGTAATTCATTCTCTTCATGTCTGCCTCAACAGTACGCTGCCATGTTGTCTTTGGCCTCCCACGTTTCCGTCGTCCTTCAGGCATCCAGTGAAGTCTATCTTTACAATGGTATCTGCCTCCCTTCTCATCATGTGCCCTATCCATCTCCAGTGTCTTCTCATAATGATAGTGGTCATGTCCTCCTGGTGCATCACAGGAGCAGGTTGTGGTTGGAGATTGTTTTCAGCCAAAAGATGCGAAGTATCTTATGAAGGCTGGTGGTGTGAACAGAAGAGAGCTTGGCACGGTCTCACTCTGTCATCCACTAGCACTCTGAGCCATATACAGCCGGTCCCCAAGTTACAAACAGTCGATTTAAGACCATTCACATTTACGACCAAACCTCCTATTAAGCAGCTGTAAAGGCAGTCCCCGAGTTACGAATGCGACCCGCACTTACGAACAGCGCAGTCGTGTATAACTCAATGGATTCAGAGTTACGAACAGTTCGAGTTACGGACCAAGTGTTGGTTCGTAACTCGGAGAGCGGCTGTACTAGGCAAAGCTGATGTGGCACCTGGCCTTTTAATCTGCGCTAGAAGGAAGGGCAAGGAGGAATTTTTCATAGCAGTAGCCCCCTACTGGACCGCGCATGACCGACTGCGTCCTCGCACCTCTCAGCTGAGTGCGGTCCGGACCTGTCAGTTTCCTCCCAACTGGAAGCATCTGAAAGATATAAATAGGAGCTCCGAAGCAGGGAGGAGAGTAGGACGTGGAGCACCCATGGGGACACACGTCTCGAAGAACAGACGTTACTGCACAGGGTGAGTAACTTTCTTTTCTTCATCGAGTAGTGTTCCCAAGGGTGCTCCACTCAAGGTGAATAGACAGCAATGGTCAATTGTCCTATGAGTGCTTCGTACCTATCAGTCCTGTGCTGTAGACAAGACCTAAGTACGTTCACGAGGGCATAGTGTCTAGCGAATGTGAGGGTAGACGACCATGTTGCCGCATGGCACATGTCCTACAATGGTACTCCGCGAAGATAGGCAATAGATGTTGCTATGCCCCGGGTGGAATGAGCACGAAGTCCACTTGGAAGAGATTTGTTGCGCAAGGCATAACATTGTGTGATGCAAGCGACGACCAGGTGGGAAATATGCTGAGCAGAGAGTTGCTTGCCCTTGGAACATTCGGCTGTAGAAAGGAAAAGCCGTTGAGACTTCCTAAAGATCCGAGTTCAGTCGAGGTATAAGGCCAGTGCTCGCCTGACATGCAAAGTGTGCAGGCGTGCGTCCTCCGATGAGGAGTGAGGCTTTGGATAGGAAGTTGGAAGGGTTATGGGCTCATTTATATGGACAGCAGAGTTGATCTTTGGCAAAAACGCTGGTTGGATACACAGTACTGCTGCATGGTTGAAGAATTGCGCATACGGTGGATCAGCTGAAAGAGCCGCCAATTTGCTCACTCGACGGGCCGACGTGATGGCAAGGAGGAACACCGTCTTTATCGTGAGCGTTTGTAGATCACATGTTGCCAGCGGTTCAAAGGGCGGACGAGTCAGAGTGTCCAATACCAATGGCCAGTCCCAAGGGTCTAGCGGGGTCCTGTGGGCTGGATATAAATTGCCGAGTCCCTTCAGAAATCTTTTGGTGACAAGATGAGCGAACACCGAATAACTGTCCACCGGAACATGAAAGGCCGAAATTGCCGCTAGATGCACTCTTAGGGAAGAAATCGCCATTCCCGTTGCCTTTAGATGCATCACATAGTCTAGGATCTGTTGTATAGGCAGCAACAGAGGGTCAAGATCCTTCGCCAAGCACCATAACTGAAAACGATGCCACTTATGGAGGTAGGATTTACATGTCATATGCCGCCTACTGTTAATCAACACGTGCCTCACGTCCTGAGAGCAGGAGAGCTCGGATGCTTGGAGCCAGCTAGGCCGCCGAGAGACCAAAGGGTAGTACACGGTACTGATAGTGGTCAGACCCCACTACGAAACGAAGGAATCTTCTGTGAGCAGGATGTATTGTTATGTGAAAGTAAGCGTCCTGAAGATCGAGGGACATGAACCAATTCTGACGGTTGAGTCGACTTAAGTCCAGGACAGGCTTCCAACCGCCTGACTACTTCTGGGTGAGGAAGTAACGAGAATAGAATCCTCTTCCCACAAAGTGAGTCAGTACCCTTTCCACAGCTCCTAACGTAAGCGAGAGACTTCCTGGTGAAGAAGAGTCTCATGAGAGGGGTCCCTGAAAAGGGACAGGGAAGGGGAGGAGGAAGGGAGAAGAGAAGTGAAGGGAATGGCATATCCTGAGGTGATTACGTCGTGAACCCACCGGTCGGTGGATATGAGAGCCCAACGATGTTGATAGGGCCTGAGACGATGATGGAACACTCCTTGCGTGACATTTGGAGTCTCTATCAAAGGGGTGGTCCACAGTCCCTCAATCAACATATCGAACCTGCTGTTGGCCCTGGTGCAGGGATGACGCTTTGTTAGGCTGTTGACAATGCTTTTGGGGG